TTATGTTCATTAAGATTCATCTTCCCCTTCCATCTTCACTACAGCAGAACCCATTTCCCAGCTCGGGAAGGAGGGTCACTGTGGTGTCCACAGCCGTGAGTGGCCGGGCAGGTCCGGGACCCAGTTCTCCCCACTCTAGATGGTGCTGTTTGCTCAGATCTGTAATCGCGAGGGAGGATGGCAAGGGTCCAGCCTGCTCCATCTTCCGGCTGTTCTCCCTCTTGGCGGTTGATTTCTGTCCCTGCCGTCCATCCGCCTCCTCGACCGCACCTCTCCCTCTGTCCTCACTGGCCCCATTCCAGCCTGCTGGCCTCCACCTCCTCTGTCTGGAATGGGTTTCCTTCGATGGGGGTGGGGGGGGGTGTTGCTTCTTCCTTCAGCTTCCCCACTCAGATGCCAGCTCATCAGAGAGCTCTTCCGTGCAGACCCATATAAAATAGCAGGCTCTGGCCCTCTTTGTCCCTCTTCACTTAACTTATTTCTCTTTTCATCCCTTGTCCCCACCTGGCTTATATTTACTGGGTTTTTTAAGATGCGCCTTCCCTTCTAGAACATAAGCTCTCTGAGGGCAGGGATTTTGTCCCATTGTTCATTTACTGTAATCCACCTTTGGACATACTCTTAATGGACATCCAAAGAACATCCCTGTGTGTAGGTAGGATACGGCAAGGCATGGCCATCCCTTACCTGTGCCATGCCCTGGTGTTCTCCCCACTCCCAGGATGAGCCCCAGGAACGTTTGGGGGGCGGGTAAAGGCTGATCTCTTCCCATGCATCTGTTGCGCTCACTGGCATGACCTCTTTTCTCCCCTCCATCGCTGCCTCGCATTGATGCTTTATAAATGTATTAGTGCCTGAATGATGTCACTGTAATGCATTTTGGGAATAGCCATGTGGTTTATACACACTTGAATTGCTTTGAATGCAAACCTGACATCACAGTGAAGGCAGCAGCGAACAACATATGCACAGTAAACAGGCAGAGACTGTCTTATTGATTAACAGATGAGGCCTCTATTATTGATCAAAGCTTGGCGAGGAAATTTATCACTTTTAATTTCAGGGCTGCCAAATATTTCTGCCTCTGAGCCAGCCATTACAGAGACAATTTAAAGGCACATGCCTCCTTGGGAAGCGGGGGTTTCTGCCTCTCTTTGCTGGGCTTCCGGGCCCAGGAAGTACCTATCTTTGCTCTTGGGCTCTCCCTGGGGAGTTGGGGGGCGGGGGTCTCAGTGGGGGTGGGGGGCAGTCCCAGAGCTTCCCGAGTGGGGCCTGAGATGGGAGCCAACGTCTGCGGTCTTGGCGTGTGATAGGAGTTCTGACCCATCTGGGTGGACCAGGCTCTGCACGGAGGCCAGGGGACGTTCACAGCCTCAGCTCAGTGTCGTGACTTCAGCAGGGCCGGTGGGGAGAGGGGAGGACGCTGAGGGCAGCCAGATGTGGTCAGGCTCGGGCCAAGTCGGCAACCTTGACAGTATCGCATGTGCTGATCTGTTTTTATCTTCATCTGAACTTGTCCGATGGCACACATCCGGCCCTTCATTTCCTACCTGCCCACCTTCCTCTCTGCTTCTCGGTCCTTAAAGCTGATGCTGCTGTCACTGTGTGGATGGCTGTTTTCTAAGAACCCTCTGCACCACATCCCTTTGAGGTGGCGGCGCAGAGCCTCCTCACCTGGTTGCAGGGCTCCTGCCTGAGGCTGAGCCCACGGGGCTCTCCGGTCCCCGCTGCCCTCCTTGGGCCTCCCCATCTGCTCTCTTCTTTAGGGAGCCGTGAGAACTGTGAGAAGCAAAGAAAGAAAGGCAGCGAAAGTCAGATCCCTTCCAGATCTGCAGGAAGTCATTGCTGGCTAGTGAGTCGGGACTGGGGAGAATTTCTCGGGGCAGGAAGGCTGTAGCGTCATCCACCTGCCTGGTCCGCGCTGCTCTTTGACGTACTTGCTGCATTTCCAGTGTACGTGGATTTGAAGGGGTCCTGGCCGCCACCTGAGGGAACACGCATACGGACTGTCTTGCCATCAAGTTCCTTCAAAAGCTCCTTCTGGAAGTCGTAGAAGGCACGAACGGTCCTTGGTCCAAGGACACCTTGCAGCTTGAAGGGACACCCGGAGGTGATCGTGACCACCCCGTCTCCAGGCAGAATTCCACTCCAGCCACCTAATACAACTGGCAATATTTATATTTGAAGCTCTTTATTTTATTTTATTTTATTTTTTTAAAGATTTTATTTATTTATTTGACAGAGACACAGTGAGAGAGGGAACACAAGCAGGGGGTGTGGGAGAGGGAGAAGCAGACTCCCCGCTGAGCAGGGAGCCCGATGCGGGACTCAATCCCAGGACCCCGGGATCATGACCTGAGCCAAAGGCAGATGCTTAAAGACTGAGCCACCCAGGCGCCCCTGTATTTGAAGCTCTTAAGGAAAAGTGACTCCGTATCTTTCCTAGGGCACTTTTTCATTCACTTATTCAGCTAGTCAACTAATGTTTTTATTGAGCCACCTGGTAGAGGGTATATTTTGCTCATCGGTTGGAATATAGACAAGGTCACTGTTCTCCTAGGACCTGCGTTCTGTACACACTCTGGGATCCTTTTCCCTTCACTGGCAAGAACTCTTTATTGCCATTTAATTTAAGCTTATACAGGTACAAATCGTATTCTGAGTTGTGTTCCTTATAGTATGTGCTGTTACTCTAAGGAAGAAGTTTTTAAAACTTCTCAAAAAGAGTAGTGGAACCATTTCTCCAGCTAGAATTTTACGCAGAACTTTAATGTATAAAAGGGGCGTATTGGAATTTTATTTTCTTGAGTTGGGGGGAGGGAAGCCCATACCTCACCTTCTCATCCGTGAAGCATCTTTGCAGGTGGAGGCCTAGGGAAGCCCAAATACACAGAGATTAAGAACAAAGGCTCTGAAGTCAGGCTGGCCGGGTTTGAATCCCCTTCTGTTACCCGCTGTGTGATGCTGGGCCAGCTCCTGAACCTCTCTGAGGTTGGGGTTTCTCGTCTGCTAAAGGGGGGTAATAGTAATATGTACTTTTCATGGTTGGTAGGATCAAAGGCAACAATACATCTTAAGCACTTCGCATCGTGCCTGGTATCTGGTAGAGCCTCAGGAAAGTGGAGATGGTTGGAAAGCAGCACTAGGTTTCTACTATAAATATGTGTAAGAAGTTCTGCCGTGGGGCGCCCGGGTGCTCAGGATGCTGGGATCGAGCCCCGCCTCGGGCCCCCTGCTCAGCAGGGAGCCTGCTTCTTCCTCTCCCTCTGCCCCGTCCCCCCTTGCTTGTGCTCTCTTTTGCTCTGTCAAATAAATGAAAAAAATCTTTCAGAAAAGTTCTGCCTCTTCTGAGACTCTCATACAAATGTAAAACACAGCACTGAAAGGAACGATGTGGAGAGAGTCCCGGAAAGGGCAGGACGGAGCCGGCATGCTTGATGCGCGCACCCTCCGGTCTTGAGGATGGAATGGGACAGAGAACTGGGACCAGGCTGTGCTCACGTGCAGAGACTCAGGGAGGGTCCAGCGCTTCCACCCAGGGCTGGTGAAGACAGCTCCCCGTGGAGTTGGGTGGCTAGCTGGTCAGGTCTCACAGCCACATAGAGGAATTCAGAATCAGTGCAGATTGTGAGCCGTGTAAGTTCTTGAGCAAGAAGTAGGAAGGAAGCAAGCGGCCTTCAGGGCACCTGCATGTATTGGGTGAATCAGGCCAGCTGGTGGGTTTGGCGGCCATCCTGAGTCTGCCAGTGTTCTGGGCACCACCCAACAAGGGCCTGGATGGGGCAGTGAGAATCGACATGCAGTGCAAGGGATGCATCTAGAAGACATTTGGAATGAAAATGGCCAAGGCTGGAGACAGGTGCCCCCCGAATGAAATCACCTTATCAGAGCCTTGAAGAGTGTTAGCAAATGGTAAAAAAGCCCTGTTTGTCTTGATGCTGTGGCCTTGTCACTTTGAGCCTTGTAAATAACGGTTCGGAAAAAGTTTATCAATTTGAATCACACTGAATTGATTTTGTTGATTCCACAAATATGTACAGTAATAATAGGTTCCCATGGGTGTTGGGCCGATGCAGCCACGCATGTGATGACACGCTCCCACCCTCGGAGAGCTTCTAGTGTGGCAGGAGACAGGGATGGGTCCACAGGCATTTAGGAGAGTATACAGTGAGCCTTTGATCTGGAACATACGCGGTGCTGTGGGAGCACAGGGAAGGGCTGCATCCTCCAGACTTGGGGACAGAAGTATGGAAGCTGGTACATAGGTGGTGCTATCTGGTGGGGCTGGAGTGTCAGACATAGGAGGAGCAGAAGAATGCGCAGAGGCCTCTCAGTGGGGAAGAGCCTGACCCCTTCAGGGAACCCAACCGGCTGAGTGGGACTGGAGACCAGGCAGCAAGAGTGAAGGGCGAGAGACAAAACTGGAAAGATAGGCACATCCAGAAGTGCTTTGTGAGCCTGGTGAGGAGTTTGGATTTTATCCTGAAGACACAGGAGAGTCGTTCAGGGATTTTAAGTGGTCAGGTGCAGGGGGTCGTTGGGGCAGGTAGCCTAGTATTGGACGTACTGAGTTAGGGGCTGTCCAAGTAGAGGCATGTCAGCAATTCCTACTTTCCCGTAAGGTACAACCTAAGCAACAGGGCATGTTTCCCCTTCTTGAATCTTTACTCCTCTCCATGGAGCCAGCCCCCCAGAATCCTGCTGCCTCTTGGGGCATCTCATCGAGACCCCATCTCTGCTTGTATTGGTCATTCTGACTCTGTTCCCTCTTCTCTCTGGGAGATCCCTGAATGGCGGCATCTGGAGCTCAGTTGGGTGGGTGGTCACATTCTGGAGGAGGGGCTGGGCTGGCTGCTGGGGCCAGCGACTGTCCCTGACTCGGGATCTTCACCAGTATCCAGCCCCCTCACCCAGCATCCACCTATGCGATTATCGGCCCAGGACCCCTTCCCCACAAACGAAATATCACTCTCACGGTGACTGCCTCCCTTTCTTTTCAGCGGGTGCCAAAGCCTTTGTCTGTGACCAGTGTGGAGCCCAGTTTTCGAAGGAGGATGCCCTGGAGACACACAGGCAGACCCATACTGGTGAGTTGACTGATCCCCATTCTCCAGGTCCTCCAGCGTGTGCCAGCGCACGCATGAGGTAGCTTGGCGGCAGCCTCTTTCAACAAACGTGACATCTGGTCATGTCCTGGGGAGCTTGTGCCACATTCAGCTACACTTGTGTGTGGGGCTGGCTGGCAGGAATGTCCACGTGTGACCTTGCCCCATAGCAAAGGCTGCCCTGGATGAGGTCTCACAGGCCACCAGAGTCCTGTCTTCACAGAGCCTTCTAGCATGCTCTTGTTGAGGTCTTAGAAGGCTCGCGATGTTATCTAGCATCCCCTTCCCTTGGTGAACGGTCAGGAAACCTCTCGTACTCTATCTGAATACCTCTGAAACCCTCAGTGGCCACAGCAGTCTGGTCTTCCCGCTGTGAGTCAAGTCATGATATAAAAGAAAGCAGTGTCTACAGAAGGATGCGTGTGAACCATTCAGCTGATGATGAGGTCACCGTAGTTGGTGTTAGAGGCCCGGTTGCTCGGCCTCAGTCCCATCACACCATTAGTCATCTTTAGTGTAGCCCAGGGCCGTACCCCATGTCACCGGGGGAAACTTTCAGTAACTCTGTAAGGTCGGAGGCACCTCCCGTGTCATGGACGAGGGCCCTCCAAGGAGGGACAAGTGACTTGCCCAAGTTAATAGGGGGGCCCGGAGTGTTGCAGCTCGGATGGCCTGGGTCTCACCCTGGCTCTGCCCTGCCTGCCCACAAGACCAGGGATTCATCCTTGAAACTCTCTTACTCGGGGTCACTTCCTCCGTTAGCAAAGTGGAGTCATAATCATACCTACCTCCGTAGCGTCGTGTTGTCATGGGGATGAATTAAGATACTTTATTTGAAGTGCTCTGCAGAGTGTTTGGCCCAGAGTAAGCATTTCATACATAGGAGTAGATGTATTTAAAATATTTATGGCCTTCCCACAATGTGCCTGGCATGCTTGTTGCATTTAAGGTGTGGTAACATACAAGAGAGATGGCATTCCTGCCCCTCGTGGAACTGAGATTCTAATGGGGAGACGGTATAGGCAAGTAAGTGTGTAATATAAGGCCGGGTAATAATACATGCTAGTGGGGAAATGAAGCAGGGTAAGGGGAAAAGAGAGTGATAGGGAGAAAAGTAATATTTTAGATTAAATGACTGGGCCTCTCTGAGAAGGTGACATCTGAGCAGAGTCCTGACATGAGGGAGTGAGCCGCTCAGAGGGAACAAGCATTTGCAGAAGCCTGGAGGCTAGGCTGAACTGGACTGGCTCAGGAAACAGCATGAGGAGCCTTGTGGCGGGGGAGGGAGGGGTGGGCAGGGAGTGAGTGCAGAGAGTGGTGGCAGATGAGGTAAAAAATCAGGTGAGTCTCTCAACCCTAGTAAGGAATTTGGATTTTATTCTCCCTGTGCTGAAAGTCCATTGGAGGGGGATAAAATATTTGCAGATTGTATCCCTGATAAGAGACTTACAGTTAGAAAAGATAAAGAACTCTTACAACTCAATAATAAAAATACAAATAACCGAAATAGAAAAAATGGGCAAAAGATCTGCATAGACATTTCTCCAAAAATAGACAAGTAGTCAATGAGTGCATGAAAAGATGCTCAACACCACTGGGCCATCATAAGGGAAATACCAATCAAAATGACAAGTTGTTTTTAATACCCATCGGGTTGTGGCTATAAAACAAAACACGGGCCGTGAGGAGTGTTGGCGAGGACGTGGAGAAATCGGAACCCTACACAGGGCTGGTGGGAATGCAAAATGGCGCAACCACTTTGGACAGCAGTCTGGCGGTTCTGCAAAGGGTTAAACATAGAGTTACCATATGCATAACAACTCTACTTCTGCGTGTTTACTGAGAGAAATGAAAACATACGTTCTCACAAAAACTTGCACATGAACTTTTATAGCAGCATTATTCATAATAGCCAGAGGTAGAGATGACCCAGTGTCCGCCCACTGATGGATGGATAAACAAAATGTCATTTATGCACAGGATGGAATATTATTTGGCTCTAAAAAGGGATGGAGGAGTGATATACCGTACAATATAGATGAACCTTAAAAAACATCATGCTCAGTGAAAGGAGCCAATCACAAAAGGTCACATGTTGTATGATTCCATTTATAGGAAACATCAAGAAGGGGCAAATCTATAGACGGAAAGTAAATTAGTAGGTTCCAGAGGCTGGGGGAATTAAAGGGAAATGAGGAGTGACTCGGGGGGAGGTGATGAAGATGTTCTAAAATTGATGGTTGCACAACTCTTGAGTATATTAAAAACTATTGAACTGTACAGTTTAAATGCATGAATTACATGTTATATGGTATATAAATGATAGTAGTATATGCACACACACACATCCCACCCGCATGCATGTGCACAAACACGTATAGAGAGAGGAGATAATAGTCCATTAGAGGGTTTTGAATGGGCGAATGACATGACTTGATTTATGTGTGTAATAGCTCACTCTGGCTCCTTGGGAATTGACCACGGGGAGTGTGTCGCTTAGTAATTACTGTGTAGTGAACCACTCCATCAGCAGATTAAAGCCACCAAGTGTTATTATCTCTGACAGTCCTGTGGGTTGACTGGGCTCAGTTGGCTGGTTTTCACTTGGGGTCTCTCACGAGATTGCAGTCAAGCCGTATGTGGGTCCGGAGGTCGTCTGCAGACCCAGCGGGGCTGGACATCGAGGATAGCTTCCTCACTCTCCGTGCTCTGCCACTAGGCCTCCCTCCACAGTAGAGTGGCCTGAATTTCTTCCGGGACAGCCCAGGGCCCCAAGAGTTTGGAAGCGTAAGCTGCCAGCTCTCTTCTGAGCTAGGCCAGAAACCTATAGCATCGCTTCTGCCATGTTTTATTGGTCAGGGCAGGCACAGGTGAGCCCCAGATTCGGGGGTGGAAGGCTAGACTCCCCTTCTCAAGGGGTCGTGACAGACAAATACGGAGTGGTATATGGCGGTCATCTTGGAGACTGGCTGCCAGGCTACTACAGGGGGCTAGTCTGGAAGAAGGAAGACCAGTCAGTCATTGCTGCTGTCACCACCATTATGTCAGCGGTATTTCCGTGTCCTGTGACCTCCCACGATCTGCCTTTCCCAGGTGGAAAACATGGTATCAGGGGCCTTGCTCTGGACAACTGGAGGAGCGCTTTCTGGGTGAGCATCTCCTTGGCTTGGTTATATAGAGAAGGTGACTTGGCCAAGTGATTTTGCCCAGGGTTCCGGAGCTAGTTGTCTTAAAAGCCAGGGCCAGACCCAGGTGTCCCGGGTCCCAACCAGTTTCTTATTGCCAGACCACACATGACAGAGAATCCCACTCTGAGAATTCCGATCTGGGGCCTGTGGAGACTGAGCGGTAAGCCGCTTGAGCTGTGCATGCAGATTAAATCTGCAGCAGGAGGAAGCAAGCCACCTCCCAGCAAGGATCAGAGGTGGAGGCTGAGTCCCTGATGGCGAGCAGAAGGGGAGGCTGTTTTCAAACAGATCCGGGGCACTTAATGAGCACCTTCTGTGTGCCTGACACCCCCCACCCCGGGGGAGGGGGATACAGCAGTGATCAGTGCAGACATGGTCTCTTTTTTTTTTTTTCAAACAACTTTATTGAAATAGAATTCACATACCATACAGTTCACCTCTTAAAAATACACAATTTGATGATTTTTGGGATCTTACACTATTTTTTAAGCATACAATTCAATGGCACAAATGACATTTCTATTTGTTTTTAGAATCTGGGTTGATGCAGCTTTGAAAGTTGGGAGCCATCTTAGGACCAATGCTTTTCTAGGATTTATTAAGTCAGTGAGAATTTGAAAGTGGCCAATGCCTTCCAGAAAAGTCTATTTGACTAGTGGTTGGAAAGAGCCTGGAGTTTGAGTCCGAAGCCCGAGATGGGGCTCTAACTCCACAATCTGGTAGGATGATGGCCTTGACTTGTTACTCGTCTTTTCTGCCCTGGGGGTCTCCTCACCTGCAAAAGAAATACAGTGCATCCTTCCTATGGCAGAAGTGGGCCCAGCCCATCCCGCCTCACTTTAGCTTTATCTCCAGGTTGAGTCAGTAGAGCTCTTGAAAGGGACGAGAAATGGAGAAAATGAATCCAAATTAAGGATGAGAGGTGAAGGGGGATGCTTTAGGAACGGCTCCCTCCCCGCCTGGGCGGTCACTGGCACTGGGCCACTCCTAGTGCAGGCAGGCTTGGCTGGGTGAAGGACAGATGCACAGCAGGGTTATCCTTCGGCAGTGGCTCTCCCTGACCCATGGCAGAGCTCATTTATAGCACCGTTGCCTGCAGAACCCAGGTGGTTCCCCAGACTCATCTGATAATCAAAGAAAGGACACAACTGGACATCCATTTGCCATCTCTGTTCTAGGAAAGGGGGCGCATGGAGCAGGGAGCGGCCAAATTACAAGGAATGCTGACAGTAACGCTGAGGTTATTGGGCTGGGAAGAGACAGGTGGGGTGCCAGGTACAGTTGGAGAGCCAACAAGAGAGCCGAGAGCACTCTGAAGAGGAAAAGGAGCCGAGACCCTGGGGAGAGGGAAAGTCATGGTCATGCTGCTCTTTGTTTCTGATACCTTACCGGATAAAACACATTTCTCTATTATACCCATTTAATAGATGAGAAAACAGAGGCCTAGAAGCCACCCACTAGGAAGTGGAGAGCTGGCACTTGACCCAACTCCAACTTCAGCGCTCTTCTCACTGCCCCCCACCTGCCTCCAGAGTGACTTACTGTGGTCCACAGGTGTGTGGCTGAAGACTGGGGAGAACTTGTTCAGAGATCATCTTGCTCAGGGCCCTGTCTGGGCAGGGTTCTTTTAAATCCCTGTGACCCATTTAACTAAGAATCCTCAACACCCTAACACCTGCATCCCCCTCCTGGGACACGATATAACTTGCCTGAAATGAATTGAGTCTGGGAGTTCCATTCCCAAAGCCACCATATTGGGGACTAACAGAGCTAACCTGCAGCGTTGCATCAGAT